TTTTTTTTGCATATCGACTCCTACTCGTCCCAAATCCAAAAAAACAACCGAGAAAAATAAACGAACCATTGAAACATTGCCCTGACGAAAACAAAAACGCGGAAATTGACGAAATAATTCGACGAATCCCACGCAGTTCACGAGATAATGACGTAATCCAGTGTTTTATTATGAATCTTCTCAATCAAGGCGACCAAGGAGTTTATAGAGGCGGTAAACAAATGTCGGGCTGGTAGACGAGCGAGTCCAGTGTCTTGGAGTACAGCAGTCAAGTTTCTAGCTGCTAGGAAATTCGAGGTATCAAGGGCATTAGCACTTTATGAGCAGCATGAAGCTACTAGGCGTCGCGAGGGACTGGCGACACTTCAACCTACCCAGGAGCCACTTCTCAGTGAATTGAAGACTGGAAAATTTACCGTTTTGGTAAGATTGATCTTGTGAAGTGGCGAAACGAAATTTAGAACAGATTCTGATGTTCAATCGTCGATATCTCTTGCACAAATGGTACGATTTGTATGACTCAGGCCTCATTTTGAAGAGTGAAAAAATACCTCGAGAATGAAAGAAAAGTCGGGGAAATTCACTCTGGCGTTCTCGAGATATTTACGGTTAAAGACAGACATTTTTCCAACTTTTGAATTATGAATGGATCAGTTTTTTTATGAATATCTCGGAATCTAATGGAGATAGCGAAATTTTTATTCATACCTTTTTTGTAGTTGTTAATTTCATCTCCAAAAAAGGTCCTCATGAATTTTTTTCTACTTCCCTTCGATTCGGAGATATCCATGAAAAACTGTTCGTGAGTCAAAATTGACTCGACTCGTTTCACTTTTAAAATTACGAAGGGATCCGTTTTTTACGAATATCTCAGAATCTAAGGGAGATAGCAAAATTTCTATTCAGACCTTTTTTGTAGCTGACATTTTGTTCTCCAAAAAAGTTTTCTATGAAATTTTTTCTACCTCCCTTCAATTCGGAGATATCCACGCAAAACTGTTCGTGAATCAAAATTTACTCATCTTGTTTCACTCTTGATATGAGAAACAAAATCTCGTCGTCCCTTGTCTTTTTCAAAATGCAAAGACACGCACAATTTCCACTTGATGGTGCATTCAAACTCAAATAGCGAGTTATGTCAGACCAATTGTATTAGTGACTGCCATGTGAGAAGAGTTAAAAAAGAACGTCAATTGCGTGTTTCAGTCGTCGAGAGACGGTACAGGTGCGGCAATTGCTATTTTTACCGCCCACTTGCATCTGCCACAGTACACAACGCATCAAACGACTCTACAGGTCAGTATTTTGGTGTCCCCGACCTTCCAATGTGGGGTCAATCACCCTTAGGTCCAACCCTAACTGACTGAATATTCGGTTTACAAATTCCAATTCCTCTCGGTTTTCTCGGATTTTCTATTCTTGCTTCCGTGACTCTTTTTGTTTGTTTTCGAGAATTTTATCAAGAATTCAACATTTCTCAGTAACTCGACGTTGAAATTGTTCTCGACATTTTCAGTTTTCATTTTAAATTATGAATTTTCCATTACGAAAAAATTAAGAATAATAAATAAATTCTGATGTAAATTTTTGGGTCAAATTTCCGTCGAAAAAATCTAAAACAAGATTTATATAAAAAAATCAAAATTTACCATTTCCATTAATTTTTTAATTAAATTGTAAATTTCCCATTACGAAAATCCTTGAAATTCCAGTGGAATTTTTTCTCGACAAACTTTCCACGAAAATATCAACCAAAAATTTTCAACAGTGCGCAAAATTCAAACAGCAATCTAGCCTGATGGTCGCCATTATCACCCACATAATCTCAGCGCATGAGCGAAAATGTTCATTGCTGTCTTCCCCTCCTTTCACGGCTTCTCAAACATTATCCACAAAAATTCCGTATCATTATAAATTGAAAGAGGCAAATGAGAGAGGCGAATGACTCCTGAATGCTTTCAGGGTGTCGTCTACCAGTTGGATGCAGCACTAGAGAGCGCCGAGACCCAGCGCCATGGACTAGTCTTCATCTATGACATGTCTGACAGCAAATATCAGAATTTTGATTACGATCTGTCGCAGAAAATTCTCACCCTGCTGAAGGTAATCACTCACTCTCAACTAAAAAAAATCTCACCCCATACTGCGACTAACATAGATATAAGATATGAATATGAAGTAGGAATAAATGGAATTCATAACAAAGTCTTTGTTGCTTGCATTATTTTCTCTATTTTCCTTTATTATTCTCCACTGTTATTTGTTCAAAACTAACAATTCTTTTCATAGTTTTGATGAAGAGAAACTGCGGTTTGCGCTCCTAGATTCGTAAAATAATCTTACGTAAAATTATCTTTCGAACGTAATCCCGATTGTTTTTCCATCTTCATAATGTAAAATATATCGCAATTTCCATTGGATTTTACATCTCGCAGGAGTCCCTAAAAATTATGATTGTACAATAAAAAAAAGTAGAAAAACAACTGAACATTTTCAAAGAGCGTTTTTAATAAAGATTAAGAAATAAGTCCGATAGAGAGGAAATAGTGAATGGATAATTTATCGCGGTAACTAACGATCTGACAGCCATTCGATACATCAAATTATTAATTTCCAATTTCCTCCCTATTGGGTTTATTTCCCAATATTATTCAAAAACACTCTGAAAATGTTCAGCTTTTTTTCAACGTTTTATTGATTGTACAATCATAATTTTTGGAGACTCTAGGACTATGTAAAACTGAATAGCAATTGGAGATCATTTCAGATCATTAAAATAAAAAAAACAACCAAGATCACGTTCAAGGAAACATAATCGACCCTTCAATATACTAATTGAAATTTAAAAATAGTGAAATAATTGGCAATCTAAATTTCCAATTGACGATGAATTAAATATTTAAAAATATGAGACTATAAATTTTCCATTAAGGCCCGGGTGGATTATCTTTCCAACGTTATCTGAATTGTTTTTCCATCTTCATAATCTAAAATATATCACAATTTCGATTGGATTTTCTCCACTGGAATTCCAGAACTCCAGTAGAATTCTCGTAGAGAATCTCATAGAGTTTCTCTAATTTTTTTCTTGGACTTCATTATCATTAAAAAATAAGAATACAGCAGAAAGAAGTTGAAAAATTCGTGCCCAAGAATTTCCCCAGAAAAATAAAAATCTATAGAATTCTCAAATAGAATTCCAGTAGAACTCCAGTAGAATTCTCGTAGAGAATTTCATAGAGTTTCTCTAATTTTTTTCTTGGACTTCATTATCATTAAAAAATAAGAATACAGCAGAAAGAAGTTGAAAAATTCATGCCCGAGAATTTCCCCAGAAAAATAAAAATCTATAGAATTCTCAAATAGAATTCCAGTAAAACTCCAGTAGAATTCTCATAGAGTTCCACTAGAACTCACCACAATTTCCCGAGAAAACCGTTAAGATGTTCTATTAAATATCTTCACCCATCCAAGCAAAAAAAAAATCCATACCAAACGCATGAAGACATTGATAGAATCTACTGCACTGGGGTTGCGTGTAGCGTTCATTTTGATAATCCCTCCGTTTCTCATCTCTGGCGACCCGAAGGGTCCCCCACTGGTGGGGATGATAGCCTTCAGATGAGGCGGGGTTGCACAACCCCTAGCGCAGTACGTGAACAAAATGAAAAATACGAGGGGTAACATTGAGGCTGTCCCTGCGCATGTCCGCACTCGTAAACGTCACACGACGCTGCTTCTGCCAGTAGTTGGATGATTTTCCTTGCACCGAGAGGACAACTAGATCAATCTGATAAAAAATTACCCCCCGAGAATAACCGGTACGAGCGTTAAAACCCGTCATTTGAGAGCGATTATTTCATATCCAGTGGGTGAATTTATTTTAAATCAGTTGGGGTCACTCTGGGGGTTGCATGGGGGCGCGAGACACCCCTGACTCCAGCTGTTTTCCATCCTCTCGTGACGGGAATAAGGCCACTAATCGATTGCCATTGATCAAAGGACATGGAGTGACACATCTGCACTGAAATGAAATTTTTCACTTGTCCAGAAGTGACGATTGCGGTATCTGGAACTGTGGGGATGGGGGAGTGCAATTGATAGCGAGAAAAGAGGGCATTCTTCGTGGATCTGTCATTCGAGTGGGGGTCGCGCTACTTCCGCCCTCTGAAAGACGGCGGTTGTCAATTTTTTAGACATTTCTGCGGTGAATTGGTAAACTAGAATAAGGCTAACATCATTAGTCCAATATTTCCATTGAAATGAGTGTAAAGATGCGATGTTTTAAATTAGATTATTTTCTAAAAATTCGATAGACTTTGATTTTTCTATGGGAATATCTGAAATTGTCAATTAAGTCCTGCATCATGCAGAAGTTTTAAAAAATGATGAATGAATAATAAAAAAAAAGTAGAAAAAATTCTTAATTTTTTCACAGAGCATTTTTAATTTTTATTCAGAATAAGTTGAATAACAAGAAATTGAAAAATGTATGTGATTTACGGTGACAAATGGCGGCCTGCTACCCAATATCATGCAGGGGGAAGACTGATTTCGTAAATTTTTTCCCCACACTGCACAGAGACATTTATTACGGAAAAGGCTCTTTGAAAAAAATTGTAATATTTTGGAGAATTTTTTAATCACACTTTTATCACATAAAAATGCCAGATGACTACATACTACTGTTTTGAAAATTGAAATACCTAGCTGTCACTTCCCATGAGGAGTTAGTGTTTTGTTATCCACCATGGAAAATGACAGCTAATAGATAATTTGCCACAGCGAATCAGATATTTGTAATTTCCAATTTTTTCAACTCATTCTGGATCTCAATGAAAAACGATCTTTGAAAAAGTTCAGAATTTCGTCTATTTTTTTTAATCATTCTATCATAATTTTTGGGAATTTCTACATGATGTACCACTCAATTGACAATTTTGGATTACGAAAAAAAAAAATCTAGATAACATTCGAAAGATAGTACACCCGAGCCTCAAATGGAATAGAACAATTAATAAATAAATTGTAAATAAATTTATTTATTATCCCATAAATTGTAAATTTATATTTTTTAATAATGTTGGCCTATTCTACGACTCGACAACTGAAATAGATACAGCCACGAGTACATGAATTTTTGAAAGTGATATTGAGAGACATCGGTCCGTTGGATGACATCCAAGATTAAGGTTGAAGACAAATTAATAATAGAATCTCGTTACCCAATAAAAACTACGTGTATTTTCACGTTAAAGCCAGTTGAAAATAGTTTTCACATTTTGTACATTGTTTGCAGGGTGGCTATCCGGCGAAACTGAAGAAAGTTCTCATTGTCACTGCTCCACTGTGGTTCAAAGCGCCATTCAAGATACTGAGACTCTTTGTCAGGGAGAAATTGAGGGATCGGGTTTTTACAGTGTCAATACCACAGTTGACACTACATATACCACGTGAATCGTTGCCCAAACGATTAGGTGGAACTTTGGAGATACAGCATGAAGCCTGGCTGTTACACTGTCTCAAGTCCATGACGAATCGCGGTGGTGGTGAATTGTGCGAGGTAAATACAATGGTCGAATTATCTTATTCATTCAGCCAATTTTATTTACTTATTATTGTACAACGACAGAGTGGATTAATTTAAAAAATGTAATCCAAGAGACCCCTCGAAACGTGAAATATTCGCAATTAATGAGAAAGCCCAGAGAAAGATGAATTCCCCAAAGAATTCCTGAAACAAGTGGGAAATTGCATTCGTCACAACATGACGAATGCATTTTAAAATACATCTGTGACAATGTATTTTAAATTAAATGAAATTATTCATTCAATTCAACATTGTTCCAATGTTGAAGGCAAATATTACCTCAATGTTGGCAACCAAAATAGTGTCAAAATTAATAGCCAACATTGTCTCAACGTTGGTAGTCAACATTGCCCTAATATTGTCCCAACATTGATAGTTAACATTATCCCAATGTTGATAGGCAACGTTGCCCCGACGTTGGCAGCCAACATTGCCTCAATGCTGGCAACCAACATTGCCCCAATATTGTCCCAGCATTGATAGTCATCATTATCTCAATGTTGACAGCCAAGAGCCAACATTGCCCCAATATTGTCCCAGCATTGATAGTCATCATTATCCCTATGTTGACAGCCAACATTGCCCCAATATTGTCTCAACATTGATAGTCAACATGATCCCAATATTGACAGTCAACATTGCCCCAATATTGTCTCAACATTAATAGTCAACATTATCCCAATGTTGACAGCCAACATTGCCCCAATATTGTCCCAACATTGTCATTATCCCAATGTTGGCAGCCAACATTGCCCCAATCTTGTCCCAGCATTGATAGTCAACATTATCCCAATGTTGACAGCCAACATTGCCCCAATATTGTCCCAACATTGTCATTATCCCAATGTTGGCAGCCAACATTGCCCCAATCTTGTCCCAGCATTGATAGTCAACATTATCCCAATGTTGACAGCCAACATTGCCCCAATATTGTCCCAATGTTGACAGCCATCATTGCCCCAACGTTGGTAGTAAAAATTGGCCCACCGTTAAATTTTTCAACGCATTGACAAACTCTGCTTCCAGGTTACCCCGCGAGTGGGTAGTCCTCTCTCCCCGACATCGAAATCACCGAATCACCAGAAGGCAAACGACACCCCAACCACCCCGACGAGTCCCGTCTCCGAGAAATTGAAGATAAAGAATGGTGGTGTCACAATCGGTGACATTGAGATAACAAACGGCGACTGGATTGCAAGCGATGAAGCCCCCTCGCCCGTCCAGCCCCCGTCCTCAGCGAGCTCGGGTTTCAGTGACGATGACAGCCTCCACGGTGATCCAGGCCTCCAAGCCGTCACCATGGAGCAGCTCATCGAGACCATTCACTCCCGGGGTCGGCCGGGTCTTGTAGCCGAGTACACGGAGATTCGTCAGCGACCGCCGGACGGATCCTTCAACAATGCTAAACTCCGGCCGAATCAGCCGAAAAATCGTTACACAGACGTCCTCTGCTACGACCACTCCAGGGTCTGCTTGTCGCAGGTGGACGGGGATCCAGCCTCCGACTACATAAACGCCAATTTCGTGGATGGTTACAAGCAGAAGAACGCTTTCATCAGCACCCAGGGACCCCTTCCCAAGACATGCGGTGATTTTTGGCGGATGGTGTGGGAGCAGCAGACCCTGGTGGTTGTTATGACCACCAGAGTGGTCGAGAGAGGGAGGACAAAGTGCGCGCAGTACTGGGGGCCCGAGCCTGGGGATGAGGTGTGTCATTTCATTGCATTAATTCAATTTTTTATCTCTCTACATTACAATAATCCAAATTGACTTGTGATGAAAATTTGATACGCTAAGTTAAGACTTCGAAATTGAGGGTGACAAGGGTCTGAATGAGGGTCAAAATAATGTTCCAAATAAGGGACATGAGTCAGATTAAGGGTTTAAATAAGGGTCACAAGGGTCAGGATGATTAATATAAGTATAGCACTTCAACAGAAATCCCCCAGAATTCTCCGTCGAATTCGCAATGTTTTCCCATATTTTTTTTCCGATATTTTTTCACCCCTGATAACCCCTAATTTTACCACAGGTATCAGCTGGGGGCTTCACAGTGACAACCCTCGAAGTGGACACAAATCCCGATTACACGATATCCATGCTCCTCCTCATCAACAATAAGACTGAAGAGTCCAGGGAGGTCTGTCACATGCTGTACACAGCGTGGCCTGACTACGGTGTTCCCCAGTCAGCCAGGGCTCTCCTCCAGTTTCTCTCCCTCGTCAGACAACAGCAGAACAAATTACTGGCCAGTAGGGGGGACACCTGGGCGGGACATCCCAGGGGACCACCAATAGTCGTTCACTGCAGTGCTGGTATTGGGAGGACAGGGACATTCTGCACTCTCGATATCTGCATTTCGAGGCTTGAGGACACTGGCACTGTCGATATCAGGGGCACTGTTGAGAAAATACGCGCACAACGTGCCTACAGTATTCAAATGCCGGATCAGTATGTTTTTTGTCATCGGGCACTGGCGGAGTACGCCTTGTCGAGGGGAATGCTCAGTCAACAGCATCTTGCCATGCTACCGCCGACAATCGAAGAGGATTCTGATTAGGATTTTTACCAAATTAGGGGTAGGTTGTCTAGTTTTTCATCGTGAATCATTCAGTTTCTGGCGATCGTGGGGAGCTCGGGGGGACTGGTGGTGGGGTTGAATTGCAGGGAAGAGTAGTTTTGAGGTATCATGTACGAAAAATTTGATAGAAAATGGTTTTTTCTTAGAAATTCTATTGGAATCCTATTGCAGTTTGATTGGAATGCTATTAGAAAATTCTGTTGAACATTGTAGGAGTCTCCTGTGCAATTTTAAATAGACTTTTTCTTATAGAATAACGTGCAGGTGTTGATTTTTCTGTGTCAAGCTTTCTATTGGCATTATTCATATGGGAATTCTTGAACAAGAACTTTTTAGGTTTTTTTTTTGCGTTTTATTATGAGGAACTAATGAAATTGCAATTAAAAAATGGAAAATTTGCGCTCGAGAATTTCGGTACAAAAATCAAAATCTGTCATTTTTTTTCCATTGAATATTTTCTATTGAAAATTTTTTCTGTAGAATGGACACAAACTCAGTAGAATTTCAATAAAATTATCTGTAGAAGATTTCTCTATTTGTTTTTTTCATACACATTGCATTCAGCTGAATTCCACGCAAGAAAAAATTGAATAGAAAAACCTAGCAATTAGCTAGATAATTCTATTGGATTTCTATTCAACTTTCTATTAGTTTTGGGCTGATTCTAGAGATATTTTCTGCAGAATTTTCTCGCCTCAAATTTTCCAAGCTTTTTTCATTCTATTTTTCTTTTCGTTTCAGCAAGAAAATTAAACAAAAAAACTTGCAAAATTTTAGCCAAGGAAATCGAAATCTGTTGACTTTTTCCTATCAAGTATCTCATCGAATCAGCGCAAAAAAGAAATACACTTTTTACGAGAATTCTAATAGAATTTTAATAGAATCTCAAAAGAATTTCTAGAGAGTTCTAATAGAATTTTGGTTTTCCTGTTAAATTTTTCCATATGTGTCTGAATCTCTCAAGCAATCTCTCAATGTCTAAAGAGACAGTCTGACCATATAATCCATGGGACGCAGTTCAATTCCCCACCGTCCACTACTATTACCTTTTCTCACTCTTAGTAATTTTGTAACAGAAAAAACGCTAGCGTCGTACTTTTTTCAATCACTGAGTTGGCGTCTAACTCCGTAACTTAGAAGTATTTTATACCTGAAAAAAGGTCAAAGAGACCAGGAGAACAATTGATCAGCAGTCCCCAAATTTTCTAGTCCAGAAATCAGAAATTTAATTTCGTCCTGCGAGGAAAACAAGACAGGGTGAGGCAAAATGGAAACTTTTGACTTTTTTTCAACGTTCATAACTCAGAAATAAACTCATAAAAAAATTATCTTGCTGCATCAATCGTTCAATGAATTATTGACATTGGAAAATGAAAAGTGCCCGTATTGTCCTACCCTCCCCTATTGAATGATCATGTTCTATAAAAATGATACCTTTTGCATGTCGACAGGAGTTATCAGCCTGTGAGGAGAAAATCCTGTTACGAAGAACGGGAAAGTTGATTAAATTCTGTTATAAAAAATGAATTAATTGAAATTATCCTGCCATTAAAATCGATTCGCCAATTCTTGAATCACAAATCAGACTGACAAATTCAATAAATCAGGAGTGAACAATCTTCCTTCTGTAAGCGTTACAGTGTTTCCATTATAGAATATTGAAGACGCTTCCAATCGGTTAAAGAAACTTCATGTTCCTTCACTGCAATAATTGAATTCAATAAAAATCCCCAAAACTTTGAAGACAAAAAAAATGAACGTTTTTTACCAAAACGTTATTTTCTTAATATTAACAGCTTCTCAAGCCCATAATAGAATTATTGAGATCGGTGTAAGATAATAGAAACAAACTCTACTTAGTTTTTGCATCTCTGTATAAAAAAATTACGAAAACTGAAAAAAAAATTTACTTGAGGGCGAATGTGAAAATGTGAAATTCTTTGTTGAGCTTTGAGGTAATTTGAGATCTTGTTAGTGTCTGACAGAGACTTTTTCTGACACCTGTGATTCCAGTACATCAGCTAAACCTGAAGCAATGAATCTAAACACTAATGTTAGGAGAGAACTGGGGGAGAGAGAAGAGGGAATATTTTTCAAAAACACGGGGGTTTCAATATATTTTGCACCGTTGGCTAATCATTTGCGTTCTTCCGGCGTGTGCAGGAGTGAATGGGAAATGAAAATGAATGTAGTGTCATTAAATGGAATAATACGTATGAGAAAATTCAATAGATTTTGATTTTTCGATTTTTTGTGGAAATTATTGGGCATGAATTTTCAAAGTATTTTCAAGAAAGAAAATAACTAAACAAAATTGAGACCCAAGAATTTCTGTAAAAGGAGTCTGGAGGAAATGGGGAAAATAAAAATCTATTGATTTCCTTTCGTGCGAGCAAAATGTGTACATCTGCAATCTCATGTATTGAGTATTTATATATCCGTTATGAATTCGTAAACTCGATGTGAAATTTTTCAACTTCATCCCTGCAGAATTGAATTAAAAGGATTTTTTATTAAAAAACATCCAATGAAAAATTTTCTCACGTAAAAAGTCAAGTGAGCGAGGAATAATCCACGAAAGTGGAGTGAAATGTACAGAATGTATGACGATGGAAATTCATTCGTGAGGATATGAAGAAAATCTATTGATTTTAAAAAATCCAATCTAGAAAAATAAAAATTTATTGACTTTTTTCGTACGAAAAAACTGTGAATACATCTGCAATGTCATGTATTAAGTATTTATATATCCGTTATGAATTCGTAAACTCGATGTGAAATTTTTCAACTTCATCCCTGCAGAATTTAATTAAAAGGATTTTTTATTAAAAAAATATCCAGTAAAAAAAGTCAAGTGAGGGAGGAATAATCCACGAAAATGGAGTGGAATGTACAGAATGTATGACGAATTTCATTTGTGAGAATATTTTTCTTCATTCTATACGAATATAAACCTTTCGTTCACCGAACGAAAGTCCCAAGGGCATAATTTATTCATTAATCAATCAATTGACAAGAGTGGAGCGTTTTGCAGAATATGGAAGTGCAATTTGATGAAGAATTTTCAATCGAAAATTTCGGTGACGAATTTCACTTCAGCCTGCACGAGACTGAAAATTCAATAGAGAAGCTAGTGCTTAAAACCGATAAAAAGGTGAAATTTGACTGCGGAATTCGATAATTCTGTTGAGTTTTAGCTACTTCCGAATCAGAATCGTTCGGCAGAATAAAGTTCATGGGATTATGGCTGGAATTTTCTATTGAATTGATCGATACGTGATAGAACCACTCTACATAATCCTTACGTAATCCATCGATTTATTTATTGTAAATTTGTCTAAGTTAGAATCAAATCGCTTGAACAATAATTTCTTCTCCAACGTTTTCACAACAATCCGTGATCAGTATTCAACCCATTTTTTAATCCTAATATTTCGATAATCACGTGCATGGAAAAAAAATTAAATATAAAATCCTAGGGATTTCTTTGAACTTCTATTATTTGTCGTCAATTTTTACTAAAAATTCCCCATTTTTTCGTGCAGTTTCCATAATAAAAAAATCAATAGATTTCGATTCCATTTCGATTTCCTTTTATTTATACAAAAATCGAAATCTATTGAATAAAATTTCTGTCCCTAAGTTTTTCATTTTTTTCCCCGTCGAAATCGACAAAAAAATTGAGTGAATTTTCAAACAAATGCTCTAGGTTTTTTTCCCTGAATTTTTTCACACGTGTAATTCTCTCAATAAATGTGAAATTGATATGGACGATAACTCGAATAATTCCATTTCACTACTGTCATTATTTTATTAATGTATGTTTGTAACTGAATTGTCCTACGATATTAATTATACAGTGTAAGTACTATCGTCGCTGTTATTTTGTTCAAATCGAGAAGTGAATGGAGAATGACAAATCCTGCGTAGAACGAAATGACGAGTCCATCAGAGAAACGATGAACAATGCTAAATTTTTTTCTCACTCTTTTCGGGGAACATTTGAAGATCAAAAACGAGGAAGAAATGGGAAGTTGTGAATTTTTAGACCTTCTTTTTTACATTTAAATTAAGAAAGCCACAAAATTGATGCATAAAAGATGAATGAGAACATGGACAAATTGTAACTGTTCAGATGATGTGTGGAAAATGTTTGTGAAGAGTGAAATAATGGATAAAAATTGTATATACCATGACCTCGAATAGCTAATGGCACATATTGTATCTCTAATAATTATTTAATATATTGCAGATATAAATGGACATGAGTGTTTTTTTTCTGACCTTTGAATCGGAGGATGACATTTTTTTTGTTCTCCAGCGCTGATTATAATCATCGTCTTGGATTCGGAGAAAATATTTTCAAGAGTTTTGCTTTTGTCACAACATGGTTAATATATTTTTGCTAATAAACTGGCAATTTGTTTCCGAATGAAATTTGTATGACGGTGTATTCTAAATTTAATTCAATGATTCATTGAATTCAGCACTGACAAGCCGCTACGCTGACAGCCAACATAGCCCCAACATTGGCCCGATGTTGACACCCAACATTGGCTCAACGTTGACTGCCGACATTGTCTCAATACTGATCGCCAACATTGCCCCGACATAGACCCAACATTGCCCCGACGTTGGCATCCAACGTTGGCTGCCAACATCGCCCCGACATTAATATTTTTGACTTTTCTCTAAATAATGGTTTCAAAATGAACCTTTTCAACAGATCAGGTAATCAATCTCATGTTGGAACTTGGTCAAATGACATTGGAAAGAATATTTTAAATAACATTTGGATTCACTTAAACAATTTTTTCAATTAAGCAATCATTTATTGCAAAAATTAATAGAAAAACCTAGCGCTTTCGATTTCTATTGAAAATCCATAACAATTCTATTCGAGTTTTGTTATAATTCACTAGTGAAGTGGTAAACGGAGATGAGTCGACTTATCTCCCAGTTGAGTTTTTGAAGAATATTTCCAAATCTAAGGGAGATAGCGAAATTTTCGTAACTACATTTATTGTAGCACACAATCGGCTCCACAAAAAAGGTTATAACAAAAATTTTGCTATCTCCTTTACATTCCGAGATATTGATTGAAAACTGGCCAATAGTAAAAATTGACTCATCTCCTTTTACCACTTCGCCACTGAATTTTATAAAATTGGACTCACGAAATACCGTTGAGGGCGCTGTTTTTCGTCAATATGGTCGCTCTAAGGCGCTCATATACGCCCCTGACAAACCCAAAATTTGGTGTGTGTGAGTGCCCGTGCGCATGTTTCTTATTTAGCGAGCCCAATAATTCTTAAATTTACATATCTCGCTCGGCAAGATAGCTCCCATCCCCATCGAGAGACCACGTCCCCTCCGGAAGAGAGAGAAAGCGCCCGCACTGGACATTTCTCTCCCTCGCCGCAATCCTCGATTGTACAGACATCGGCATAATCATAACTTTTAATTACAGTTAAATTTAGAATAAGTCAATTGTTAACATTACTCCCCAGTTTTTTCTTATTAAATTAAGCATCAATTTAAATATTCAAATTCCGAATCATTTCATCAGCCAATAATGGAGAAATTTAAATTACCAATTATTAATACATTAATTTTCAAACTTCAATGAAGATGACTAAAAACTTGATTAGTGTACAGACATCGGCATACTCACAACTTTTAATTACACTTAAATTTAAAATAAATCAATTGTTAATATTACTCCTCAATTTTTTCTTATTAACCACCAATTTAAACATTCGAATTCCGAATTACTTCATCAGTCAATAATTGAGAAACACGAATGCAACATGAATTCAAATGAAGATTGATAAAAAACCAAGTTCACCTAGATAAAAATGATTGATTTGTTTCTGGCCCATTGCATTGTGACGGTTATCTGACCGTCAGATGACGCATTTGCATTTCTGCGCCCACCCCCGCGCTAGACGAAGACAAAAACCCCTCAAATCCCGCATCTCTCTCCCTCCAAGCTCGCTCAAGCGCTCTCTCCCTCCTCTCTCTCTCTCTCTCTTTCTCCCCTCCCACAAAGTTCGCCTCGCCTCGCTCCGAATGGCGATGAAAAGCCATCGGTGACAAAATAAAAAATGGACGAAAATGGCATGTGAGGTGTTGTTGAATTCCGGTGAAATGTTTGGTTATCGCAGCCACCTAGAATGGGAGGATGCATAGGTATAACCCGGGCAAGAACAGCCTCCGTAGACGACACATCAGCCAATTCAACGAGAACCCATTCAGGTGATTAAAAATTTATAACAGTTACAATGCAATAATCCACCTTCGACCCCATCGTAAACACGTACAGAGGATAGCTCGCTAACCTTGGGACAAGTGATAGCACTTGAGAAGTCATATTCACTCGTTCTTCATCTCGTGTTTATGTTTTTTACTTCGATTTTATTGACGTCCTGTCCCTTCGACGTGGGTAAAGGTCAAGGATGCATGCCATTTCGATCCTCGATCTATTTTTGCCCCCTAATCATCGGGCTGATTGACGCTAAAATATGTAACGATAATTATTCCAACGGGTTATTGAGACGTTGGTGGTTCGCTGGCTTTCTTTTGATTAGATAACGATCTTTGGGGATGGGTTTTCGGCGGGGAGGGGACACTGGAGTTTGGGATTTTCGTAGGTCAGGAATGATTTGGAGAGTTTGGACTGGGATTGAGGAGTGGGTCTTAGGGTCTTTAATTAGTGTTTTAGTATTTATGATTAATTGGTTGGGTGACGTCAGTCAACTTGATGGACTGAATGTTTTGGAATTTATAATCAGAGATTATAATCAGAGAGGGGATTCCCATTTTTAATTTATAAAATAGAGTCTGTGGTATAATTTGAGGGCCTTAACGGGCCTAGAACATTATGTTTTTTACGAAATTCTTAGGTCAAGAATGAATTCATTCATGGAGAGAGTCTGGAATTGAGAAGTGGGTTCTTAGGGTCTTTAATTAGTGTTTTAGTATTTATGATTAATTAGTTGGGTGACGTCAGTCAACTTGATGGACTGAATGTTTGGCAATTTATAATCAGAGATTTTTATAATTAGATGAATTCTGTTGGAGGGGATTCCCATTTTTAATTTATGAAATAGAGTCTGTGGTATAATTTGAGGGCCTTAATTGCCCTAGAACATTATGTTTTTTATTAAATTCGTAGGTCAAGAATGAATTCATTCATGGAGAGAGTCTGGAATTGAGAAATGGGTTCTTAGGGTCTTTAATTAGTGTTTTAGTATTTATGATTAATTAGTTGGGTGACGTCAGTCAACTTGATGGACTGAATGTTTGGCAATTTATAATCAGAGATTTTTATAATTAGATGAATTCTGTTGGAGGGGATTCCCATTTTTAATTTATGAAATAGAGTCTGTGGTATAATTTGCGGGCCTTAATTGGCCTCATTGTATTTTTTGTGATATTCGTAGGTCAGGTATAAATTGATTGATTCACATCAGACTGGCATTGATCAATGGGTCCTCAGGGTCTTATATTACTGTTTTAATATTTATGATTAATGGGTAGGTTGATGTCAGTGAACTTGGTGAATAGTGGATTTGGGGATTTTTAATTGGGGGTGGAGTCAGTGAACTTGATGGACTGAATGTGTTTGGGAATTTATAATTGGATGAATTCTGTTGCAGGAGATTCCTATTTTTAATTTATGAAATAGTGTCTGGTACAATTTGAGGAGGGGAATGGGTTCTTAGGGTCTCTAATTACTGTTTTTATTATTTATGATTAATTGATAGTTTGACGTCAGTGAACTTGATGGGTGGAATATTTGAGAATTTTCAAGTGGATGAATTTTACTCGAGATGATTTTCATTTAAGGCCCGTGTGGATTGTCTTTCGAACGTGATCTTGGTTGTTTTTTAAAATTTTGACAATCTTAAATGATCTTCAATTGCTAATCAGTTTTACATAGACCTGGAGTCTCAAAAAATTATGATTGTACAATCAAAAAAACGTTGAAAAAAAGCTGAACATTTTCAAAGAGCGTTTTTGTATAATATTGGGAAATAAACCCAGTAGGGAGGAAATTGCAAATTAATAATTTGACGTATTTAATGGCTGTTAGGTCATCATTTGTCACAATAGTCAATGGCTGTCAGATCGTTAGTTACCATGATAAATTATCCATTCACTATTTTCTCTCTATCGGACTTATTTCTTAATCTTTATTAAAAACCTTTGAAAATGTTCAGTTTTTTTCTACTTTTTTAAATTCTTCAATCATAATGTTTAGGAACTCCTGCGTGATGTAAAATCCAATAAATTGTGATATATTTTACATTATGAAGATGGAAAAACAATCGAGATATCGTTCGAAAGATAATCCCCCTCTGCCTTAATAGAAAATTTATAGTTTCATATTTTTAAATATTTAATTCATTATCAATTGGAAATTTAGATTATCAATTATTTTACTATTTTTAAATTTCGATTAGTATATTTAAGGTGCGGATGGATTATCCTTCGAACGTGATCTTGGTTGTTTTTTTAAATTTTGACAATCTTAAATGATCTTCAATTCCTAATCAGTTTTACATAGGAATCTGGAGTCTCAAAAAATTATGATTGTACAATAAAAAAAAACGTTGAAAAAAAGCTGAACATTTTCAAAGAGCGTTTTTGAATAATATTGGGAAATAAACGCAGTAGGGAGGAAATTGCAAATTAATAATTTGACGTATTTAATGGCTGTTAGGTCATCATTTGTCACAGTAGTCAATGGCTGTCAGATCGTTAGTTACCATGATAAATAATCCATTTACTATTTCCTCTCTATCGGACTTATTTCTTAATCTTTATTAAAAACCTTTGAAAATGTTCAGTTTTTTTCTACTTTTTTAAATTCTCCAATCATAATGTTTAGGAACTCCTGCGTGATGTAAAATCCAATGAATTGTGATATATTTTACATTATGAAGATGGAAAAACAATCGAGATAACGTTCGAAAGATAATCCCCCTCTGCCTTAATAGAAAATTTATAGTTTCATATTTTTAAATATTTAATTCACCATCAATTGGAAATTTAGATTATCAATTATTTTGTTATTTTTAAATGATTAGTACATTTAAATTCGTAATTGAATTTGGTGTCCACGGAATTATCATTCTTCTTAATTCTCAATCCAGGCAATTCGAGGAAGAATCATCCCCTGTGCCACGAAGTGATCAGATGGAAGTCGGACGTACCGTTGACAGAAGGCCAACTGCGAAGCAAACGTGACGAATTTTGGGACACAGCACCTGCCTTCGAGGGTAGAAAGGAGATATGGGACGCACTGAGGGCCGGTGCAACTGCTGCTGAGGCGCAGGACTATCAGTTGGCACAGGCGATACTGGATGGTGCTAATATTTCTGTACCTGATGGATTTTTAACAGAGTGCTATGATGAACTGGGAACGAGGTACCAGGTGCCCATCTACTGCCTGTCTTATCCCATTAATATTGTTAAGGAGGACAGCGGGAGGGATTCACCTGCTGACTGTTCAGGTGAGTACTTTTCATTGTTAAAAAATCAATTAAATTCTTGTGCAATTGATGACATTTCATTTCAATTGATGATAGTCCTATGACATGAAGAAATACAAGAAGAGAACAGGGGAAAAATAATTTTAATGAGGTGAATCCATTCGAAAGCAAATTACTAATTTATCAGCAACAATAACTCATTCAAAAGATGTCTATTCCTCCGTAAATAATTCTATTCTGATTTTTTTTTATTTACTCTGTTTTTTCTGGAATTTGTAATTGGAACAAGGAAAATACAGCAGAAAAAACGTGAAATTTATGGCGAAGAACTTCTAGGGGAAGTCGTTTGAAAGGATAATTGATATGGGAAAATGAAAAACGATTGGATTTCTTCTGTCAAATATTTATTACAAGAGAATTCTAGTAGAATTTCTTGGAGTTTCTTTTTTTTCGTAAAGTTCTTCTATTTCTTTCATTTTTCACGTGATTTCCTTTGTCATCTAGAACCTGTTGATGGTGGAACTGAATTGACACTCAAATTGAGACTGTCGACGACCCTTGGGGACGTCAAACTACCTGTGTACAGTAAAGATACTATTGGAATTGCAAAGAAGAAGTTACAGGTGAGGATTTAATATTTTCTCCCAATTCATCAATTTTTTACATTCATTTTAGTGCATTTGCTCTTCTCCACTCATTGACTAGTGATGTCTGGAATTATACAGAGAAGTTTATTGGCGACGTGATTTGAAAAATTGAGGAGAAAAAAATCCAATTGACTAGAAATTGTCGCGTTCCATTGTATTTTTTTATTCATTCGATTGAGTCACGTGCTGTAACTAGTTATCATATAGATACCTTTTGAATTGCTAATTTCGAAGCTGTAAGAAAATATAAGTGAGTTTCACTTATTTTTTGCTACCGATGGAAGATTTGTAATCGTTCGAATTTAAGGCCCCGATGTACTATTTTTCGAACGTTATCTCGATGTTTTTTTTTTTCATCTTTCGTCATCTGAAATTATCAATTGAGTCCTGCATTATGCAGAAGTTTTTAAAAATTATGAATGAATAATCAATAAAAAAGTAGAAGAAATTCTCCATTTTTTCAAAGAGCATTTTTAATTTATATTTAGAATAAGTTGAATAACAAGGAATTGAAACATGTATCTGATTTACGGTGACAAATGGCGGCCTGTCACCCAATATCATGCAGGGGGAAGACTGATTTCGTAAATCTTTTCTCACACTGCACAGAGACATTTATTACCGAAAAGGCTCTTTGAAAAGAGTTGTAATATTTTGGAGAATTTTTTAATCACACTTTTATCACATAAAAACGGCAGATGACTACATACCACTGTTTTGAAAATTGAGATACCTAGCTGTCACTTCCCATGAGGAGTTAGTGTTTTGTTATCCACCATGGAAAATGACAGCTAATAGATAATTTGCCACAGCGAATCAGATATTTGTAATTTCCACTTTTTTCAACTCATTCTGAACCTCAATTAAAAACGCTCTTTGAAAAAGTCCAGAATTTTTTCTATTTTTTTTATCATTCTATCATAATTTTTGGGGATTTCTACATGATGTACCACTCAATTGACAATTTTGGATGACGAAAGATAAAAAAAATCCAGATAACATTCGAAAGATAGTACACCCGGGCCTTAATGTAAAAAAAACATTCCATTCGTGTGTGTTATCATTCTATCATAATTTTTGGGAATTTCTACATGATATACCACTCAATTAACAATTTTGGATTACGAAAGATAAAAAAGATCCAGATAACATTCGAAAGATAGTACACCCGGGCCTTAATGTAAAAAAAACATTTAATTCGTGTAAACCAATCAATAAATAAATAAATATTCAATTCGTGTGTGTTATCATTCTATCATAATTTTTGGGAATTTCTACATGACGTACCACTCAATTGACAATTTTGGATTACGAAAGATAAAAAAATCCCGATAACATTCGGAAGATAGTACACCCGGGCCTTAAGTCAAAATTAAAAGATGATTACGATAGCTATATTGGTTCATTTGTTTTTTCTGATGATTGTTAAAAAATTCGATAATAAACTGAATGAATACTGTTTTCAGAGTCAAGAAGGACTCGAGCCATCCCGACAGAGATGGTTTTTCGGTGGAAAGCTCCTCGGTGACAAGATGCACATCGAAGAGGCCAAAGTTCAGCCAGGTTACGTAGTCCAGGTAATCGTAAACTCGGAAAAATCAGACGAAAGTCCATCGAAGACCAGCTGAAGAGATCTCCATGGATCTCAAACGAAAAAGCCAACACCTTTTCATATATCTCTGAATAATCTGGGACACACGAAAGTTCACACCTTCATGTTTTTCATACCTTCACGTTAGTTTCTTTTCACTGAGGTGTGAAACCGACGGAAGTCCGTGGATATGTCACAATGCACTCGAATTGTACAGTAAGACTTGACTGACGGTTTAAGCTTATTCTTTTAAAAATAAGAGGTTAATAAAATTATTGGAGCATTTGTACTGTCGAAAAGAATTAGATCATCTTTAAGCTTGAGATCGTTGATGCCTAAGTCCATTCGGGGGGAAATTATGCCTAAATAAAATATATATTTTTTAACTCTCTGTGCAGGAGATGGGGCTAATTTTTTGAAGGATTTTTTTTAGATAACTAATCAGTTCGGATAATGATTGAAATCCTGGCATCGAGAGTTTTGATGAACAGTTGTAGTTATTGACGAGTCTATGACTAATGAATTTATCTTCGTTACGCTTTTTGGGTGAGAATGGTTTGTGGAAAATTCTAGGACTTTTGCTACGAAAGTCTGTTGGAAATTCCGCAATTTCGTCGATGGGAAATAGTCGGTAAAAAGAAAATTGCGAATAATGGATTGAGATTAATTGATTTGTGGACATGTTTTTTTTTATTTTTACATTTCAGTCGATAAATTGTCAATATTTCTGTCTGGAGTTATTTCTGTTTCGAAAAATGCTCGGAAAACTGTGACATTCTTTCGAAAAATGAGTGGATGATCAGAGAAATTAGTGAATAGAATATCCAGACGAAGTTTTGGAAACTTCTGTTTATTTATAATTTACTTTTAAAGATGGACAAAGTCGATTGGCAATTCTAGTACTTCTACTGCAAAATTTCACAATTTTTTTCGTTGAAAGTATTCAATGAAATTTTTTTACAAAAAGTGACAAAAATCCTTTGGATTTGTGATCTTTAATGCGACCTATCTACTGGGATTTTATTCGCAGAAATTCCTCTGCGCGAATTCTTCAAGATTTTCCATCCCATTTTATTGTGATTCGCATTAAAAAATGAACGGAAAACTTGAGAAATTATGAAAGAAGATTTCCACAGAAAAAATTTATTCCAAAAAATGTATGGGCAAGGACAAAAAATTAAACGAATTGTTGAATGGAAATTTCTGCAGAAGCTCTAAAAATTTCTGTTAATTTATCAATTCAATTTTAAATATGGAAAAAAATGATGGGAAATTATTCTGTCCATTTTTCAAAAGTGACTAATTCTATTGAAATTTATTTACAGAAATTCCTCTGCACAAACTTTTCAGTTTTTCTTAAAAAATTTCAATCTCTTTCGGTCAAACATTTCTATTCCAAATAATCCATACAAAAGAGACAGTAATAAAACGAATTATTGAATAGAATTTCCTCCCGAAGCTCTAGATTTTTCTATTGAATTGTTTCATTCGCAAGAATAGTAACAAAAAGCAAAAAATGGAATCATTTGAATTCTTTTCCTTTCTTTCACGAAAATAAATCTATGGTTATTCTAATACGTAACCACCTGCGTGTACTGCGTGTGTATATACCGTGCGTAATATCTTTATTGCCTACGTTGATATATATTATGTATAGAAAATTGTTTGTACACAGTCTGCACACGCGTGAATCATTTCGTATTCGTATTTTTTATCAAGTGTCCTCGAGGTGAAAGAGTCAACAATCGTCGGCGAATCGTATTCTTTCTGCGATGCGAATTATTTATGAGGTCTTCGTACAAATATGTTCAAAGATACTATCTATCGACAAATATGAGCATGACAGGCGTTGTGTGACGTCACGTCTGTGTATTCGGTAAATTAATCGATTCGTTTTCTGGTCAATTCTCACTCACTGCTTCATGCTTAATCCGTTATTATTCTCGTGTCGTCTGTATATTCATTTTTTTTATTGACAAGATGGTTTTTCAGTGGGAGAACGTGATTGTTGTGGGGATTCGGTCGTCAAGTGGGGAAAATGTAATGAATTGGGTGATTTTTCAGATTTTAGCAAAAGTTAATCAACTTTTATTTTTATTTCGGCATTGACTGGTTGAAAAATGCCGAATTCTGTTGGCAATAAACGACTCGAAAAAAAGGTTGATGAGTAATTTTGTAATAGCTCTTGACATTTCGCTCTGAAAACACAGCATTCCGGGATAAATGCACAATTATCAAACTGATAAAGTACGTTTCACCGCTTCCCACTGAATATCCAACACAATTTGTAAAAAATCCCTGAAAAGCCATCCACTTCAAAAACAATGATTTTCCTCCTTAAACCAATTTTTTCAATCACATTCAATCTTTTTACCTAGAAAATGACGATAAATACCCCAAGGGACGAGAACAAACTGTAAAAATTAGTGACGGGATACGAATGAGACGCATTTATTTATAATCTAAATAAAACTAACTTTTGAGACGAGTAAGAAAATTGTTTTTTATCAGACTGATTGTGCCAGTAGATCCCCCCGGTGAGCTCTCAAGAATGTGTCCCAATCGATAATTATCTCAAGTCAGAGGACTTTTTATTTTATGGAGAGAGCGCAGTGAAATTCCAAAATAGCTGGTTTTTTCATTTATCGTGCTTATATTTTTTCATATTTCCCGAAGTATTTATTCGGAATCTAATGAATGAAACAGTGAAAAAAAATCTGAGAAACTGAGAAAAAATGCCAAAAACCCAAAGAATGAAGATTTTCAAAAAAACCCATTTAGTTATTCTTTCGAACGTTACCTCGATTGTTTTTCCATCTTCGTAATGTAAAATATATCACAATTTCCATTGGATTTTACATCACGCAGGAGTCCCTAAAAATTATGATTGTCCAATGAAAAAAAGGAGATAAAAAAACTGAACACTTTCAAAGAGCGTTCTTAATAAAGATTGAGAAATAAGTCCGATAGAGAGAAAATAGTGAATGGATCATCATGGTAACTAACCATCTGACAGCCATTGACTACTGTGACAAATGACGACCCAACAGCCATTAGATACATCAAATTATTAATTTGCAATTTCCTCCCTATTGGGTTTATTTCCCAATATGATTCAAAAACGCTCTTTAAAAATCTTCAGCTTTTTTTCAACGTTTTTTTGATTGTACAATCATAATTTTTGGAGACTCCAGGGCTATGTAAAACTGATTAGCAATTGAAGATCATTTCAGATTATCAAAATAAAAAAAACAACCAAGATCACGTTCGAAAGATAATCCACCCGGCCCTTAAAATGGAAATACTAAACTCATCAGCCCTCTAAATAAAAGTCCCTGTGATTTTGAAATTTCAGTGCGGCCTCCTCTCAATTTGAAGATTAAATACTCGCAAATTACTCACCTGGGTGATTTACTCCAGTTCGAAAAATCCATATTATATAAATATGAACTATAAAATAAATGTGAATAATAAGAAAAAAAAACTAAAATACGATAAACCGTGTCATGTGTATATACGAAGAGAAAATGGCTACAATAATTAATTAATCAATTAATAAAAGTGCAATTTGAGGTGTAGAAGGGGGCGATGAGTAGAAATATAAATTGCTTTAAAAGCTGAATAATGCAACACTACTAATGTTTAATAGTCACGGACCAATGTGTATGAGGCTGCACGTTTTCAGATGAATTGAAATTGTATAAATCAAACGGTGACTGATTGGAAAACGACTGCCACATATTTTTAAACAGTACGATACTTTCATAAAATCAAAATAAAGTGATAAATTAATGAATAATGAGACACTGAAAATACCTACCGCGTTACTTAACGATGTTAATCCAAGATTGTCGAATCGATTTTTTCTCCGGTAGGTAGAGTAACAATAATGACCAGGGTTTGATAATTTTCTAAATGCAGAATCAAACATTTCATAATGGGGAACATTTTATTATAAATGTTCGTGAGGTCTGATCCAATCAAGTCTGATCCAGGGAGACATAATAATGAGGAGATGCGAGATATCGAAATGGAACAGTTGCTGTTATTAAATTTTTGCTTGAAAGAAAAATCAATTTTTTCCTCTTTTCAATATTAAAATTTTTTTTAATTGACATTTGCTAATGAAAAATTACGAGAATGTGTCCGATGTTTAATAATGTTTCGAATAAAACTGGAGAGAATATTTTTCTTGTTTTGATCGACAATTATTAACATTTTACGAATGCTTTACATCAGAATCATGTGAAGTTCTTCGATTTTTATGGAAAAAAACTCGGAAAAATATATTTTGGAAAATAATTTAATCTCAGTGACTGTCCCCTTGGATATCCTCAAATTTTTCGTCTTTTTTCAAGTTTTTTCAAATTTTTTGAATCACAAATTTTCCCACTGGATTTCAGTTTTACATTTTCAACGATAAACCACGAATAATTGCATAAATAATCCTAGATTAAAAGAGAAAAACAAATAATTTCGAACAACAATCTTCATCTCCTCCCCTCTATCTTTAATTTAAAAAATTTAATGACTGTAATTTTAACGTTTGTAAGCAATTAATCATTGTTATAAGGCAGAGACACATCGTCAAAATAAATGAGCATAATGTTGTGAAGTGATTAGTTCGTGTAATTCATAAGTCAACAGGTTTTACTTTCCATTTAATGCGACTCCTCTAATTGATTTACATTTTATGTACAAGCGATTTTCCATGGATGAACTTATTTGGGGAGTTTGCGCACGTGTTTGAGCTCGTGGCATAGCCATATCACTGTGCTGAGGAGTAGCATGCTTCCTGACTGGTGAGAAGCTGCCAGGGAGACAGGTACGTGGTGGAGGAGAGTCGAGATTCCTAGGATTACTTGGAGATATCCAGCACCCAGGACTACCAGGGCTGCTGTCGATGCACGTCCTGGCAGTTTTATTTTCCGGGATTTTAATGCCATTATGGTGATCAGTGTCAATGTTGTTATACCCTGGCAAGGAGAAAGAATTGAGGATTTAAGGCCCGCGTGTACTATCTTTCGAATGTTACCTGGATTTTTTTTCTTTCGTCATCCAAAATTGTCAGTTGAGTGGTACATCATATAGAAATCCCCAAAAATTATGATAGAATGATAAAAAAAATAGAAAAAATTCTGGACTTTTTCAAAGAGCGTTTTTAATTGAGATTGAGAATGAGTTGATAAAAGTGGAAATTACAAATATCTGATTCGCTGTGGCAAATTATCTATTAGCTGTCATTTTCCATGGTGGATAACAAAACACTAACTCCTCATGGGAAGTGACAGCTTGGTATCTCAATTTTCAAAACAGTGGTATGTAGTCATCTGCTATTTTTATGTGATAAAAGTGTGATTAAAAATTCTCCAAAATATTACAACTCTTTTCAAAGAGCCTTTTCCGTAATAAATGTCTCTGTGCAGTGTGGGAAAAGATTTACGAAATCAGTCCTCCCCCTGCATGATATTGGGTGACAGGCCGCCATTGTCACCCTAAATCAGATACATTTTTCAATTTCTTGTTATTCAGCTTATTCTGAATATAAATTAAAAATGCTCTTTGAAAAAATTGAGAATTTTTTCGACTTTTTTTTGATTATTCATTCCTAATTTTTGAAAACTTCTGCATGATGCAGAACTTAATTGACAATTTCAGATGACGAAAGATGAAAAAAAAAAACATTGAGACACATTCGAAAGATAGTACACCCGGGCCTTGATAGAAAATTTATAGTTCCATATTTTTAAATATTTCATTCATCATCAATTGGAAATTTAGATTATCAATTATTTTACTATTTTTTAATTTTGATTAGTGTATTTAAGGCCCGCGATTATCTTTCGAACGTGATCTTCATTGTTTTCTTTATTTTGATAATCTGAAATGACCTTCAATCGCTGTTCAATTTTACACAGCCCTGGAGTCTTCAAAAATTCTGATTGAACAATCAAAAAAACGTTGAAAAAAAGCTGAACATTTTCAAAGAGCGTTTTTGAATAATATTGGAAACTAAACCCAATAGCGAGGAAATGGCAAATTAATAATTTGACGTATCTAATGGCTGTCAGATCGTTACCATGATACCATGATAAATTATCCATTCACTACTTCCTCTGTATCGAACTTATATCTTAATCTTTATTAAAAACGCTCTTTGAAAATGTTCAGTTTTTATTCTCCTTTTTTTCATTGGACAATCATAATTTTTAGGGCCTCCTGCGTGATGTAAAATCCAATGGAAATTGTGATATATTTTACATTATCCCCCCGGGCCTTAATTTTAATATTTTATAGTTTCATACTTTTAAATATTTCATTCATCATCAATTGAAAATTTAGATTCTCAATTATTTTACCATTTTTTAATTTCGATATAAATGTTCTTAATTTCGATTTAAAGCCCAGGGTTTTCTTCCGAACGTAAGAATATCAGAAATTCTTTCTGATCAAAACATGTTGAAATTTTTAATTCTACTTACGAGTACTCTATGATCCCATTGAACAGTAGTCGGATTCTCCGTGAAATTCCTCAACATAGGGGACATCTCGAGAAGACCCTTCGGAATAAACCTCCTCCCCATCCTCGGGAACTCGTTATAAATCAGGCCAGCATCGAGTCCAGCCACAAAAGCCCCAGAGATAGCAGTCAAAAATACAAGCGCCTTAGTCCCATGGGCCATTCTCTTGAACTTGACCAGTGCCTTGGTATGTTTATCAGTCAAAATTTTCTTCCCGAACCAATCAAGGGGCATGACTTTGGCAGGCAGCAAATGGTCGAGTCCGCTGTGCAAGAAGCCAGCGTACAGGAGAAATGCCAGACCCAGATGGGCCGCCAATCGGTACTGCGAGACTCTGGGGACGTCCGAGGGGCCCTCAAACCTGTCCTCAAGGCCTGATTTCACCATGTACCAGCCCATGAGGCCCTGGGCACCGATCAGTGACCCCAGGACCAAGATTCTGGCCTTCATTCCGGGTTTTAGGTAGCCTCTGTACCAGAAGTAGGCAGCTGGGAGGGCGAATGCTGCACCTATCAGTCTACCCCACATCCGATGGACGTACTCCATCCACCAGATTTTTTTGAACTCTTCCAGGGTCATGTTCTGGTTCATTCTACGATTCAATGATAAGGGCTGCTGTTATTCTACTGATTTTTCTTTTGGAGTACCCGTTCATCAAGAGGGGTGGATTCCATGGTCGATAACAAAACACTAACTACTCATGGGAAGTGACAGCTGGGTATCTCAATTTTCAAAACAGTGGTATGTAGGCATCTGCCATTTTTATGTGATAAAAGTGTGATTAAAAAATTCTCCAAAATATTACAACTTTTTTCAAAGAGCCTTTTCCGTAATAAATGTCTCTGTGCAGTGTGGGAAAAGATTTACGAAATCAGTCTTCCCCCTGCATGACATTTTTCAATTTCTTGTTATTCAACCTATTCTGAATATAAATTAAAAATGTTTTCTGAAAAAATTAGGAATTTTTTCGACTTTTGTTTGATTATTCATTCATAATTTTTCAAAACTTCTGCATGATGCAGGACTCAATTGACAATTTCAGATGACGAAAGATGAAAAAAAAACATCGAGATAACTTTCGAAAGATAGTACACCCGGGCCTTAATTTAATAATTGAAAAATTGTTGAGTTCTATTACTTGATTAAGAATTTATGAAATTAACGTCAATTATAATTTATGATTATGCCTATCACTGCAACAAAATGATAATTTCGTTAGAGAAATTCGTCAGTTTGAGGTGTTGAGTGCCAAACACACCAGAGAATAGTGAATATTTTCTAAACTAAAAGATCACTTGCAGTTTATATTCTGGATATTGTTTATATCGTTCAAACTCCTCGATCCATTGACCCTCGGACACTGGCATTTTCTCACCCAATAATTTCCACGTTACCATGGACAACCCCGACTCAGTCAGCCTCGTTATCCCACCTGAATCATTGAAAGGTTTTTTTCGAAATTAATAGAATCCATTCATTGGTTGAAGTCGTTTAATACATAAATTGTCATGTACAATAATTAATAATCTTATTGTTCATTCGTCGAATTTATCATCATTTAAGTTCTAATAAATCTCCGAATATCTAGTACTAAATAAAGAAATTAAATTACAAAACATCTTCAGGCTTCAGTGATTACTATCCACAACGAATTTTACATTAATAGTCGAATAGGCCTCGAAGCATCATTAAATACATATTTGTAGGGAAGGTTGGGATAAAACGGACACTTGACTTTTTAAAAAATGTTAATGAGGGGTTGAAATGTTGATGAAATTTAATAATTTTTTTTCAATACAAAGAACAATTATTTCCCTTTGTGACGAGCCTAAACTGAACTCAATTGATAAATTTGTTTGTGAGTTATGAATAATTTTAAAAAAGTCCAAAGTGTCCAAACTATATCGATTTATTGTCCCTTGAAATGAAGATCAACCCATCAAGAAGGAAATTCCCATTACTTTCCCCACGTTTTATCGACGATTTCCCTCACAATCGCTTTCACAGATCCGTAAATACATGAATAAATAGCAATACCTAGTGCTACAGCAATGAAGACCATTCCACTGCATGTAAAAAGCCACGTGCCAACGAGCCTATTTGTTTTTTTGTTAACAGCCGATGCATATCTGAAGGAAACTGCTCCAGACTGGGTCGACAGACCCGGAGTTGTTCTCCATTTGGCTGAGGTCTCCCGGAGAATCCTCAGGAAATCACTCGGTCGTTTTTGAAGGGGACTGTGAAGTGCTCTTTGAGTGGAGAGCGATAGATTTGTAAATGGGGCTCTTGGAATTCCCCTGGTGCATAATCTCGAGACACTCAGCATCCTGAAATTTATTCATCGCAAATTCTTAAATCTAGTCATCATCCACACGTTTCTCACATATTTACCTGACCCCGTAGATGATCGTAGATATTTACAGATCCTCCAGAGCCCTAACCTCAGTACCACTGCCGGAAATTCCACTCCAAAATGATTATCTACCTGCAAGTGATCATTAACATTAATCAACGGCTTGCGGATGTTAATCGTTCATTTATTACCGGTAATCGTCAATTAATTACATGACATGACGACACACCGTCTCGAAATAATCGAAAAATCCCGACTACTACGCAAGGATGGTCTGAATTCCGCACCTCCAGCGATTGAAATTCAAGGTGACATTTCGTTTTTACGAGCGGAAGCCAATGTTTCGGTTTTCGGAGGTTCAGGAACAATTCACGAGTGAAACCGGCACAATTAGGGAGGATCAATGTGGCGTGAATTGTTTCGGGTCTAGTAATGAACGGTAAAACTCGCATGAAAACACAAACATGCATGTGTAAGAGTGGGCGATCTTTGTCGATCAATCGAAAACATCGATTTTTCATGCCCAAACATCGATGTTTTTCGTTCGATGTTTTCAAGGGCCGATTAATCGATTTTCGATTCTTTTTTCCAAACATCGATATTTCTGACCAAGTTAACAAAATTTTTAATTTTTTTTGTCGAATAGATTTTTTATACATGTAAACGGGCATATATGCATGTCAGGAGTGAGCGATTTTTGTCGATTAATCGAAAACATCGATTTTTCATGTTCATACATCGATGTTCGTCGTTCGATGTTTCACAACGGCTGATTAATCGATTTTCGATTCTTCCAAACATCGATATTTTTTTTTCCAAACATCGACTCAGAAAATTTAAGTGATGATATCGTAATTTTTCACAAGAGATTCAGATAAAAATTACGGAACGCTCCGAAAAAATTCCGTGACAGTTCCGCAAAATTTCCTACAACCACATTTCGCTCCGGAATTACGGAAAAGATACGTAATTTTTATTGAATATTTCTTTCCGTGCAAACAAGACTTGTTTCACAATGTTTGTTTTTCTCTCAGTGAACGTAACGTAATGGAAATGTTAATTATCATTTAAGAGTAAATCGTAGCTCAATCCTGATTTTTCAACATGCTAGTCCTACGGTTTCAAATTGGCGGCCGTTTCCCGGGCCATCGCGCCAAGAGCGCAGCTGCCTTCACACACCCTCGGCATTTTCCATTCCCCCTGAAGTCAGTCGTGGCTATGCAACACCGGCCCCAGAAAACGCGTAGCCAACTTCGCGCGTTCTTTCGCAAAAAAGAAAAGCCGTCTCTTGTTATCAGAGGTAATTTCGGTAAATTAATAATTCCCCGTGACTTGATGAGTTCAGCAATAAATCGTCCAAGCAATAAGTCTGATATTTTCGCGCTTCGTACCCTCGAGGGCCCGAGATAATGTCGGAATTATCGATGGACGGTGTAATCCCGGAGACGCAAGAGAAGGACGAGTGTCCAACGACAAATGATCATGATAATACGCAAGATAATTCGACACTGAATGAGAGTCAGGATTTTCATTTAGTCGCTGAGGACGAGACACAGGAGGAACAGATTGCGGTGGACAATGGTGGTGCCAAGGGTGATGTTGATGTTGAGTCGAGTCAGCACGAGGCTGATGGAAATAGTCACGCTGAAGCGCGGGATTGTGATACGGGGGACAAGGCTGTTATCGAACCGGAGGGCTCACCCCGAGGGCTCGACCAGGAACAGCAGGACGACGACGAGGAGATTGTTCAGTGCACACCCACCGAGGAGATACTCTCCCCCAGGAGGAGACAGCTGAACGCTGGGGGACAGAAGAGGAAGGCTGAGGAGGAGGTGGAGCTGGGGGTCAAGTTCCAGAGGACATCCTCCAGGGAGGATGCTCTCGCTTCTGTCAGGAAGAAACTCGATGAGATTGAAGGTTTGTTGGGTCTTTCGTTCTTCAAGAATGGGCCATTGTTGGAGGGGGTGGGGGTGACATTCTTTTGTTTTTGCTGGCGAATGGAAACGTAATCGGTCGATTTTTCAATTCTCTAATTTTGCTTGGAGATGACTGAGAATGTCATGAAACGTCGAGATAAGATGCTTTTAGAGGAAAACGGTGCAGTTGAATTGAATAAACTTTATTTGAGTAGAATAAATCCACTATTAGAATCAAATAAACGATTTATTCGAGTCAAATAAAGTTTATTCAACTCGAATAAATTATTTTTCTGAGTGTTTTATGTGCGTACGAAATTCTGGGATTTTTTAAATAAATTTTCGCACAAAAAGAACTAAAGTGATGAATAAAAAAATACATTTACCCGAATTGTCCAGATTTCTATCAATTTTCGTTGAGCAATTGAACTAAAATTTACAGTTCCCATTGATTCCCCAAAAATTTTTTGATTTTCAACGCCGAAATTCCTTGAAATTTCCCTAGAACTGGAAATGTCACTCAAAAATATTCAACACTAATCTATTTCCTAAATGCCCAATGGATTATTTCACTGACGAAAAAAAATTCCATTAGGGGAGGTTGGGGTAAAATGGACACTTGACTTTTTTTAAAGTGTCAATGACAGCTTGAAATGTTGATAAAATTCAATAATTTTTTTTTCAATGCAAAGAACATTTTTTTCCATTGTGACGAGCCTAAACTGAGCTCAATTGATAAATTTGTTTTTGAGTTATGAGTAATTTAAAAAAAGTCCAAAGTGTCCATGTTACCCCATCCTCCCCTATTCTCATTTATAACGAAAAAAAAATTCCAAAATGCCTCAGCCCCCTTCAATTCATCCCCTCTTCACTTTCCAGAGTCTCAAGACCCCGAGGTGCTTCCAGAGGCCTCCCCCACCGATCCATCATCAGCCACAGGTCCCCTTCCAGAAGAGGTCGCCCAGCCCTGCCCACAGGAGCCCCCGGAGGCCCCAGCAGCCCCTGAAGAGCCCGACAAAACCGCCATGGAGGTCGACCCCACGCCCTCCCACCCAGATCTCGTCCCCCCCGCCCCCTCAACTCCCACCCCCCCAGCCCCCACCCCCTCCGAGAACATGGACACCTCTTCCTCCCCCAAACCTCACGACCAAGACCCCCCACAGCCGGATCCCCCCAAGAAATCCAGAATGAGCATCGAAGTGATCTTCGACAAAGCCCTGGCGCCTCCCCCTCCCCCAAAAGAGCTCGTGGAGATCGACGAGGACGGCGAGAAAATAATCCTAGACGCCTCCCAGGAGGACACAATTCCCGTGGAGACCTCCTACAAGACCTGTGAGAGTAAATCAGCAACAGACAGCTACAAATCAGCAACAAGTGCAAAGGAGAGTGAAAGCAGCGAGGCACAACTGACCAATGGAACCTATGCAAAATCCCAGGATGCAGACGCCACCATGAGCCTCTCCCCATCGACAAACGAGTCCTCAGGGCCCCCAAAGACCCCCACCAAGCCCCCCGAACTCCTCAACCTAGTCAGCGACAGCGAGGGGGACTCATTCATGAACGAAGAGAAACATAAAGCCAAGATCATTCCAGTTGAGAAGGAGCTGAATGTCGTTGTCAAAGTGAAGTGTCTCCTCCAGGTGAACGAGACCACGAAGGAGATATCAGGAAAGGAATTTCTGTCCATCGACTTCGAGCACGTGCCAGAGCTGCATTTATCCAGACGAAGGAACAGTGATGTTTCAGCACTGGCTGATGTGTCTGATAATAAAGATCCAATGTCACCAGGTTCAGTCACCAGTAATCCTCAGCCATACGCCCTGGGGCCATCCAGATTGTCACTGATGTCGTCAGCAAGCACCTCGAGCTCTTCGTCGAGTGGATCGGGAAAAGTAGGGAAAGATCCTCCCCATTTTTCCCTTCCTCGAGGCATTCCCAAGCATGCAAAGAGACCCTTGGAGAATGTCGATGAGGCTTCGGAGAAATTGAAGAAAGAGTGGAAGAATGTGAACCTCTTGACCTCTGGCATTCTCAGCTTTGTGAATGCTGAGGTTCTCGCCTGTGATCTTCATAATGGAACTAGTGAGGACACACTGGGGAGACTGACAGCCTCAACACCTGAGACTGCTGTCGTGGCCACTCCTAAGAGCAGCAAGAAGGGGAGACTGCCAAAGCGCTCACGTCAGAACTCCAGGTCTTCCAGGACCAATGGCTTGGGGAAGGTTTCACCAAGTGTTCTGTCTACTATTGAATCCAAAAGTGACACTGAGGGGAATGACTCCATTCTCTCGGAAGTGTCAACTCCAGCCAGACAGAGTGGGAGGTCCCTCTCTATTCTGAGGAATCAGACTCCTGTTTACGATCCCAGTGATGCTCTTGTGGGAAAGGAGTGCTTTGCCAAGTGGTCTGATAATAATTATTATCCTGGCAAGGTCATCAGCAAGTCCAAGGGGAAGTTCAAGGTCAATTTTCTGGATGGGAAGAACAAGATGCTGATTGAGGAGTTTGTCATTCCCATGTTGAGGACTCTCGGGGAGGGACTGTCGGTTTATGCTATGACTCCGGAGGAGTATGGATCCTGCGGGATTATTGTTGCTGTGGAGAAGCCCAAGGACGAGGTTTTGTATACCGTCGAGACTGATGAGGGGGAGAAGATCAAGGTGCCTATTAAGGACATCTTTCTCACCGCTGATCAGGCACAGTTTCTCAGGGAGATGGTGGATAATGATGTGAAGAGTCCACCCAGTACTCCATCCATGGGAAAGGTAGGGGCTCAAGGATTTTGTTGAGTGACTTGGGGTGACACAGACTGGGGGTGTACTATCTTTCGAACGTTATCTCGATGTTTTGTTCCATCTTTCGTCAGCTGAAATTGTCAACTAAGTCCTGCATCATGCAGAAGTTTTTAAAGTTATGAATGAATAATCAAAAAAAGTAGAAAAAATTCTTAATTTTTTCAAAGAGCGTTTTTAATTTATGTTCGGAATAAGTTGAATAACAAGAAATTGACAAATGTATCTGATTTACGGTGACAAATGGCGGCCTGTCACCCCAATATCATGCAGAGGAAAAACTGATTTCGTAAATCTTTCCCCAGCGAATCAGATATTTGTAATTTCCACTTTTTTCAACTCATTCTGAATCTCAATTAAAAACGCTCTTTGAAAAAGTTCAGAATTTTTTCTATTTTTTTTATCATTCTATCATAATTTTTGGGAATTTCTACGTGATGTACCACTCAATTGACAATTTTGGATTACGAAAGATGAAAAAAATCCAGATGACATTCAAAAGAGAGTACATCCGGGCCTTAATATTTATAACAGATAACGTTTTACACGTGTGAAAAAAAATCATAGAAAAACCTAGTGCTTTTTTTTCTGAATTTCTATTGAAGTCTATAAGAATTCTGTTGAAGTTCTGTTGAAATTCTATTAGAAAATTCTGTCTGATTTTGCGCAATTTTCGTCTTGCGGTTTTATGAACAGATGTAGTGGAAAAAGTTGGAAGAAAAGTCCAAAAAACAAGACTTAAAAAATTTGCTAGAAAATTCTAATGACTTCTATTGAACTTTCTACTAGTTATTGGGCGATTCTGTGGCAAAAATCTGCAGTTTATCTGCGCATTTTGTCCAATAGAAATTTCCAGTGGAAAATATTCTGTAGGAAAATCAATAGAATTCAATTTTTCCTCGACTCAAATTTTCCAAGTTTTTTGTCTGATTTTTTAAAATCAAAATAGAAGAAAAGTAAAGTAGAAAAAACTTGAGAAATTCATGTCGAGGAATTGCTATAGTGAATGTTTCGACAGAAAAAGTATAAAAAGATGGAATTCTATTAACTTGTACTACAAAGCACTTTCTATATTGTTCTATTGAGATATTTTCAACAGAAAGTCCTCAGCTTAGATTTTCCACGTTTTTGGTTTGACTCTTTTAATGAAAAGAGAACAAAAAAAAGTGTGAAACAACGGAAATTCATGTTAAGGAATTCCTACAGAAAGTGTCTCAATAGAAAGATGAAATTCTTCTAATTCTTTCAACGAAATAATTTCGATTGGACATTTTCTATGAAAAACCCACGCATTAAAGCTGTAGTATTCCTCTACAGAATTGACCAAAAACTAATAGAATTTTCAATAAAAGCTTCAACAGAAATCCAATCGAATTTTCTACAAAATATTCCGTGCGAGTAATTCATCATTAATTTTTAAATAACAATTCCCTTCGAGCTATCTACAACATTATTTTCACATTTGTTTCAAGGTCACGATGGATAATATCGTCGAGGGCTCGAGAAGGGTCAAGTCAGTGCTGGGGACCCCCAAGTCTGGGAGATCAAAGAGGACCTACAAGAGTTCAGAAGTCGAGGCTTCTGGGTCTGGGCTTTCCAAGAGGAAGGAAGAGTCTGAGTCGAATTACTCTGCTGGAGATACTGATGTCGAGGGGGTCCAGGTGGAGATGCTGGAGACCCTCAACGATCTGGGGGGCAAGGGGCCTGCCAGCAGGGTCAAGGGCAAGGGCAAAAACCGAAAGAAGGAGGATCAGGAGGTCGTTGCCACCTTGGGACCCATTCCTGAGGGCTCCAGTCTCTTCAAGGGGCTCTCGTTTATCCTCACTTGTGCTCCCCTCGAGTCTCTGGACAGATACAAGGTCGATAAGAGGGAGTCTGCTAATTCGGAGACTGAGACCGAGAATGAGGCCGAGTGGAGCAGAATCGCCTTCGTCAGGGAGAGACTCACTGCTCAGATCACTGGGGGCGGGGGCAAGGTTTACGAGGAGTTCAAGGATATTCCTGTGGAGGAGCATAAGAACACCAAGTTGATTACCAATGTTCCTAATATTACTGCGAAGAGCCTGCTTTGTTTGTCCGTGGGGATCCATCCGGTTAATCATCGATGGGTCATCAGGTGCTGTCAGGAGGTGAGTTGATCGTGGAATTTTACATTGATTGCAAACAATTTATTTGAAATAAATTTAGGGAGAGTGGGGCGAAATGAAACAGTCGAAAACGACTCTTTGACGCAATTCAAGCAAATATTTTTTTTATTAAATTAAAATATAATTTAAAGGGGATGGAGTGTCTACGATTTTTTTCAAAATCTTTTCGCCTAATTTAATTGATAAAACTAATGATTAAAAATCTTGAAATTTCCAGAGAATTTTAACGTGAAAATGAAAATTCCAAGTCCCATTTTTATGAAAAATTGAAAGAAATTTGTCATGCAATTCCTCGCTTTTTAGTGCAATAAACTTTATTAAAAGTTCAATCCCACATAAATATGCGCAATTAATTAATTGTTTTTCGACAGAACAAACTGGTCAATGCATCAGAGGAAACCCTGCCGGCTGGATGGAGTTTCGACAAGGAAGCATACGTGGATATGTACCAGAGGCCCAATGCCAAGCCACTGGGTCATGCAGTGATTGTAATGCCAAAGATTCCATCCAACGAACGGTCCATTGAATTCTGGCAGAGGGTCATTGTCAATGCTGGTGGAGCTTTTCGAGTCATTGAGAACCAATGTAAGCTCTTCAGTTCTATCACTCCAATCCCAAAATTCCAAAACCAATTAAACCCCATATTTTTTAAAATAAACAAAACCCATTCTCAATGCATAAAATCATGAACTATGTAAATAATTAATTATTGACAAATTTCCGTGACGTTTTGGTCTCAATTAATCAATTAGTTCAATGATTTTGGAGAATAACATTTTTTTCAATGAAAACAATTATTTCTTAATACGTAAAATGATAAATTTTCTCAATTTTTTTTTTTTTATTATTCAGCACAAAACCGGTCGGTTTATACAACTTAAATTCTCTCAATAATGGATGATTTTACAGGAAAATGTCATGAAACCTGATTTTAAATTGACAAAATTCACCAGAGCAAAGTTTCCCCTTCCATTTCCTTTCCAATTAATGTAATAATTAAGGAGAAAATTCAATTGAAGTTGAGTTTCCTTCATGAGCTGTCTCCAATCATCTTTTTCATTTCTAAATTACAGCCGAGACATTCATGGAAGGTACAGTAGTCCTGGCAAACGATAAATGCCCAACTTGGATGAAGGAGAAGGCAGCAGGCTGGAAGATTCCCCTGGTAACAACGACCTGGCTCATCCAATCCCTGATCGAAGGAAAAATGATGCCATACGATGCTCACCCCCTGTACCAGCACAACCCCCCCAAAAAATAGAGGGGCTGAATTCCACATTGACATTGCAAGAGCAAATGTTATAATAATCTAGATTCATTTATTGTATCACTGATACAATTGCATTGGGTTTTCTTTTTGTTTCTTTATTGTTTGTCTTCTTCTCCATGTTCGACGTGTCCTCTCGTCGTCTACAGGCTTATGTTGCATTTACCGTTGAAATTCAATTTTTTGTTCCCCAAAGGCTGTTTTCACTTACTAAAATTCATGACGAGTTGTTTTACAATTGTGACTTTTTTTTCTTGTGAATGTTGGCAAACTGCTCGGTGGCAAAAAAACAGTGTGGCGGATATGGTGGATAATCTTCAATCAACAGTGAATAAAATGCAAGACTATTTCAAGGATTCCATTGAACCAAATTGAAACATTTAAACTGAAAGACTCTTTATGAGAGCTTGATACAAATGTTATCAATCATAAACGTATATGTAATAATTGTATCAACTTTTGTTTACCTAAGCCGTAGCGACTGTACAATTTTTCTGGTGATAAGAAGAAAAAGCGATAAAAATATATTGACATATTTTGGCAATTTTTTGATTTTCTTTATTTTCACTGAATTAATTAAGGCGACGGTAATAATGACAAATGGATCTTTATTCTCGTCAATTATGAAACGACCTCTCCCTGAAAAATACAACAAAACAATCTTCCTCACAGTTATAGTCATATTCATCAATCATAATTACCGTTAAATTGTGAAGTCAATTTTTATCATAAATCTTGAAATTTTAAATATTACATTAAACATCAATTTGTACATTTAAATTTTGAAATAATCTATCAACTAATAATTTAGGTAGGAAGATTGGTGAATTATTTGAATAATCGAAAATCAGGTACCTAAATTTAGAATTAGCTTGTTAATTTTTATAATATTTTTAATTTGGGCAATTTTTTTATTTTTTTTATTTTCCCTGAATTAATTAAGGCGACGGTAATAATGACAAATGGATCTTTATTCTCGTCAATTATGAAACGACCTCTCCCTGAAAAATACAACAAAACAATCTTCCTCACAGTTATAGTCATATTCATCAATCATAATTACCGTTAAATTCTGAAGTCAATTTTTATCAAAAATCTTGAAATTTTAAATATTACATTAAACATCAATTTGTACATTTAAATTTTGAAATAATCTATCAACTAATAATTTAGGTAGGAAGATTGGTGAATTATTTGAATAATCGAAAATCAGGTACCTAAATTTAGAATTAGCTTGTTAATTTTTATAATATTTTTAATTTGGGCAATTTTTTGATTTTCTTTATTTTCTCTGAATTAATTAAGGCGACAGTAATAATGACAAGTGGATCTTTATTCTCGTCAATTATGAAACGACCTCTCCCTGAAAAATACAACGAAACAATCTTCCTCACAGTTATAGTCATATTCATCAATCATAATTACCGTTAAATTGTGAAGTCAATTTTTATCATAAATCTTGAAATTTTAAATATTACATTAAACATCAATTTGTACATTTAAATTTTGAAATAATCTATCAACTAATAATTTAGGTAGGAAGATTGACGATTATTTGAATAATCGAAAATCAGGTGCCTAAATTTAGAATTAGCTCGTTAAATTTTATATTTTAAATTTATTAAATATAGTTGAACTTTGAACAATATAAGGAGATAATCCTTCTTAACACTGTCGAAATCTAATATTATTGGCCATCACTGCTTCCTCAATGGATCCCAGAAGACCTATCACTTCTGAATTTATCCATCGATGTAGTCAGACGTTTGAGGACTCCAGTCCCTTTAGACTCGCGTACAATGACTTCTTTTTGCTCCCACAAAAGTTCACTGACGCTGTTCCATTTTATTCATCACTCATAATTCCTCCTTTATCCTCTGACAAAGTTTTCTTACCAATAGTATAGCTGTTTCTTGGAACATCACCGTACTGTGCCAACTGACATTTTTGATTCACTACCTTTGATGTAAAATAAACAAGCCCTGAAGACCCACAGAATGGGCCGAAACGTTGGCTCATTTGAGTTGAAAAATTACTTTCCGTTGATTCACCTCCTCCCGTGACCGCAAGGTCAATTAACATTTGCTCAATGAAGACGATGACATTAAAGACAAACGTATCTTTATTATCCTAAATTACAAAACATCCCCTCGCCCTACAAAATACAAGAAAACAATCTTCCTCAAGGATTATACCAATCCAAAAACAACAACGAAAACGACATGACGAGCAGAAAGAATAGAATCCAGACTCTGAGTCCGGCATTCCTCTGGATGGCCTGTCGAATCTGTTCGTTAGCATCCTTGACATTCTCAGTGGATCCCACAACGGTTGTCACGAGTTTATCGAGGTCCCTGTCCTGCTGGAGCACCTTCTCAGTGAAGATCTCCTGGAGTTCAGCAATGTGTACGACCTTGCTCTCGATGAGTCTGACCTCCTCAGTGATGGTGTTGAGCTCGTTGTACAGCTGTTCATTCTCAGACTCGAACATCTGGATGTCCTCGGCGGAGGGCTCCTCCTCGTAGGCCATCGGAGACACGTCTCCATTCATCTCCTGGACCTTCAGGGGACTCGACCCTGCGGAGGGTGAGGTGTCCCTCTTCTCAGCCTCCACTTCCTTCCTCTGGGGCTGCAGCAGGCCCTCGGAGGTCGTCTCCAGCTCCAGCTTCGACAGCTTCTTCAACTCCATCATCTTCTTGTAGCGGATCGCCCTCTGCTCCGAGTAGATCTTGCAGACCTTCTCCAGGTAGTGCTTTATCAGGTCCAGCATCGTCAGCCGGTGCTCGCGGTTCTGGTGGCTCATCTCCATCTGCGCCGTCTCTCGCTCCAGGTCTTTTATCAGGCCAGAGCACGTCGTCATTATCCCCTGCGCCCCGCTGTCTATCTCGTCTCGCTCTGCGTCCGTCATACCGTTACTCAGGGCCAAGTGCCTCGATAGGTTCAGGTAAGCTGCTCTGTTCTCCAGCAAAAACTCCTGCAGCTGCGAGATTTGCGCTACGAGGGACTTCGTCTTCGCTCGGAACAACGACTCTTGCTTTTGTCTTCGGGACGACGGCCTGGGAATCTCCTCCGAGAAAGCCTCCTTCCGGAGGCTCACTGTCTTCACACATGCTCGGAACAATGTACTCACATCCATTATTCATCAATTATTCGTCGATTTTTTTTCAGGACTTTTGGGGTTTTGGGATCACCGAATTAATTCAGATTTTTTTCAACGCGAAAACTTCAACTTCTCGTCAGTAATATTCATTATTTTGTTATTAAATACTGTTAATTGTTGCCTTTTTGGGAGTTGGTAGTCTTCAATTAGCAATTATTCATTCTTTTTATTTTCGATAATTTATTTCAATATTTGGTTTGAATTGTTTCCTCCAGTGTTTACGGAGCACTCAGTTGTCACTGGGGGTTATGTGTCCCACGGTTTTTCATTGCTTATGGGGGTTTGGGAGAATTCCGCGGTTGTTGGTGGAGAAATACTGTTGGAGAGTATTCTTTACGTGTTTTTGGTAATAAAGTTCGGTTGAGATTTTTCAGCGAGAGGTTTACTGAATCAACAGATGTTTTTTTGGGAATGACTGGGAATGTGACAGTTTATTGGGTGGTGGATTGGGGCGCTGGTGTCGCTACGGTTTTTTTGAATTTTTCGCTTTTATTTTTTATATTTAGGGGCGGGCGGGGTAAAACGGACACTTTAGACTTTTTTGAATTATTCATAACTCAGAAACAAATTTGTCAATTGAACTCAGTTTAGGCTCGCCACAAAGGGAAAGAATTGTTCTTTGTAATGAGGAAAAAAAATATTAAATTTTATGAACATTTCAACCCCTCATTAACATTTAAAAAAAAGTCAAAAGTGTCCGTTTTACCCCAACATTCCCTATTTATAACTCAGAAACAAATTTATCAATTGAGTTCAGTCTTGGCTCGCCACAAAGGGAAAGAATTGTTCTTTGTAATGAGGAAAAAAAATATTAAATTTTATGAACATTTCAACCTCTCATTAACATTTAAAAAAAGTCAAAAGTGTCCCCAACATCCCCTATTCATAACTCAGAAACAAATTTATCAATTGAGTTTAGTTTAGGCTCGTCACAAAGGGAAAGAATTGTTCTTTCTAATAAGAAAAAAAAAATTATTAAATTTTATGAACATTTCAACCTCTCATTAACATTTTAAAAAAAGTCAAAAGTGTCCGTTTTACCCCAACATCCCCTATTCATAACTCAGAAACAAATTTGTTAATAGAGTTCAGTTTAGGCTCGCCACAAAGGGAAAGAATTGTTCTTTGTAATGAGAAAAAAAATTATTAAATTTTATGAACATTTCAACCCCTCATTAACATTTTTAAAAAAGTCAAAAGTGTCCGTTTTACCCCAAGTGATCGTTGGAAAATCGATTTTTGGAAAAATATCAACTATTTCGAGTTTGTATGAAAAATTGAATCTTCATTGGTGTCAATGAATAAAGATTAGTGAAGTCAATATTCATGAATAAATTCACGAAATTGAAAACTTGAATAAAAGACAAAATTCTTCAATTCAATCGGCCCAAAACTAAATTTTCAATAGAAATCCAATATAATTTTGTTATCGAAATTCCCGAGTGTAATCCGGAGAAAATAATGTACAACTCAAATTTCATATTCCCAATACAATAAAAAAATTGTTTATTAAGATCGATAAACAATGGTCAAACGACAAAAGTCACATATTTGTACTCGTTAGGTATAAGAAATGACGCTACATTTGAATAGGTAAATGTAACATACAATGATCAGCCGTTTCATAAAATACAGTGGAATCATCACAACCTAATCCAACATTTCCTAATCTAGCATTCTAATATTCTGCAGCCCGTAACCGGTATACGGAAAATCTCGGATAGTTTTAGTTTCTTCAGGTAGTAATAAAAATAGTATTAGTGGATTGAACAAGCACATCAACCGAAAACTGCACGCACGAAAAAATTTAATAGAAAAATCTAGCGAATTCGCTGGAATTCTACTGGATTTCTATTGAACTTTCCATCAGTTTTTGGCCGATTCCGTTAAAACGTTTAATAGAAACTACTCTACAGAATTAAATTTTTCTTTACAACTTATTCTACAGATATTTTCCGTAGAATTTCTTCGGCTCAAAATTTCCAATTTTTTTCATTCTATTTTTGCTTTTCTTTTCATCAAGAAAATCAAACAAAAAAACTTGGAAAAATTCAGCCGAGGAAATTTTACAGAAAATATCTCAATAGAATACGTTGTACAGAAAAATCTAATTCCGTTGAACATTTGGATAGAATCGGCCAAAAACTACTAGAAATCCAATAGAATTAGTCTAAGGAATTCACTAGGTTTTTCCATGTAATTTTTTCATACGTGAACACTAAATGTCTGCGTTATTATCACATTGTTCGATGTATTATCAACATCATCGTCTTTGCATTTCCTCTTATCTTTAATTTTGTATCATTCTCAATTTCCGTTTAATTGACCGGCTGCCGCTTTCCTTGATAATCTGTAGTTTGTCGTCGACGGAGTGAAATTACAAAATTCATCTGCATAAGTATGGCGAGGGCTCACGAAAATTGCACTGTTTGCATTCTCTCTGAAATTAAAAAATGCACAGAATTCATAGAAACAGCAAATTTAATTTTTCCCGATTTCCAGATTATTTTCAATCATCAAATTTCAGAATTAATTATTTATTTATTCATATTTACGAAGAAATAAATAATTAAGTAATTAAATAAATGATTGAATTCATTCATTCACAATTTTTTTCTTTTATTTGCGAATTATATGTGAGAGAAATTCGATAACAATTAATTATTAGCGTTATCTGAATTTTATTTTGCCGAAATAATTCTAAATGAATAATTTAAATAATTTAAATTTCTGGAATTCTCATCTTCCTGGCATTGAAATGAACCCATGATTTTAATTAATTAGTTTAATTACTTTCCGATAAAAATGTTTTTGAAATAAATAGAAAAATTTCGAAAGATTTTTTTTCATTTGTAATGAAAAATATAATGTAGTATTAATATAATATGTTCTATTTCATTTTATAGTGAAAATAAAGTTATCACTTACGACTGGATAATCTTCTGTGAGTGCATCCTCACTCAGTCGGAAGTAAACGGACCTGTTCTCCATGAAACTCCGAACGCTTCTCTTGTACACGTCGGGATGTGTCACATTCCAGCCTGAATTCTTGATGTTAGTCATGAGGTCAAGGATGTCCCTCTTCTCGTTCTCATCTTCCGACGACGAGATCCATTGACCTCGCGGCTTTCTGTCCAGAGTCTTCTTCTTTTGCTTCCGTCTGCCAGTCCCGATTGCTGACATCTTCGGTGATGTGAATTTAGGTAACTTTGGAGGAAAGAAGAAAAATGGTAAGGATAATGTTCGTGAAATTAGTAACGGAATAAAAAAATTACTAGTAATTTTCACGAAATATCTTCTTGTAAAAAGGGGAATCAGAGAATAAATTTAGTTTTCATTTTTTTCTTTTGTATTTTTAGGGCACTATTTTTTTAGGCACTATTTTTTCGAGGTTTCATAGTTTTTACTCCAATTTGGGCAAGAAACAAACGGAATTCTTCAATTGAATTCTGATAGAATTCTTATATTTATAATAGAAATATTCTATTGGATCTCCATAAGAATTGTATTGAATTCCTACTGAATTTCTATAAGAATTCTATTGTCTTTTTGCGCTAATTCTATTGAAGTTTATGCAACTTGATTGTGATAATTTTTACAGATATTTCCTAGGAAAAAGTCAATGAATTTTAATTTTTCTATAGAAATTCTTGGGCATAAATTTTTCAACTTTCTCAAGATTTCATAATTCTTAATGGAATTTGCCCGAAAAACAAATAGAACTTTTCACTTGAATTCTTATAGAATTCCAATGGAATTCTTATAGAGTTATCATAGAAATATTCTACTGGAACCTCATAAGCCATTAACAGAATTCCTCCTGAAATTCTATTGTCTTTTCGCGTTAATTCTATTGAATTTTATGCAACTTGATTGTGATAATTTTTACAGATATTTCGTAGACATAAATTTGTTAACTTTCTCAAGATTTCATAATTTTTTATGGAATTTGCCCGAAAAACAAATACAACTTTTCACTTGAATTCTTATAGAATTCCAATGGAATTCTTATAGAATTATCATAGAAATATTCTATTGGAACCGCATAAGCCGTCCATAGAATTCTTAGAGAATTTTAGGAAGAATTCGATTGTTTTTCTGCGCCGATTCTGTTGACGTTATGCAACTAGATTGTGATAATTTTTTACAGACATTTCCTACAAAACGGTCAATGAATTTTAATTTTTCTATAGAAATTCTTAGACATAAATTTGTTAACTTTCTCAAGATTTCATAATTTTTTATGGAATTTGCCCGAAAAACAAATACAACTTTTCACTTGAATTCTTATAGAATTCCAATGGAATTCTCATAGAATTATCATAGAAATATTCTATTGAAACCTCATAAGCCGTCAATAGAATTCCTTCTAAAATTCTCTAAGAATTCTATTTAGTCCACACGCAATACCCCCTTCCCGTGTGCACTTCTAGTGCGGTAAGGTTTTGAGGTGTTTTCTTATGTTTTCGGGTATGAGAAATCCGAATCCGGTGGTATTTTTTATGTAAGTGCGTGCAATTAATAGTTATAAACAAATTAAGTGGTTTTTTTGATGATTTTTTTTTT